CCCTGGGGGTTTCTACCAGGGGAGAGCAGGTGAAAGTTGTAGGTCACTTTTCATAGGAACTCTGCGATGAGAGAGGACACCTAGATGTGCTGAATCTATCCATCCATCCATCCTCCAACTGCTATAGCCAGACCCATGCCCTAGCCAGTGCCACCAACTGTGGGCCTGCCCTGACCAGCTGCATGGCTTCACATGAAGGTAACTTTAGGCACGAGGCACTGAAAAGCAGTCACCTGTCTGAAGCATTTGTGGATCTCATGGAGCATGATTAGGCCCTCAAGGACATTATGGACCATTTCCTGGAGTGTGTTGAGTCAGGAGCTGACTTGGTGCACCTGGTTTTTAAAATTCCCAACAGTATACATTAATTTGGACCTGATTGAATGACAGTCAGTTGGCAGAGGTGGCTAATTAACTAAGTAGAGATACAGCTGAGGGGCTAATTGGATGAAAGTAAACATCACTCCACCCCCCAGGAGCTGGGACTATATAAGCAGCCAGGATGCACTAGAGGATAGTATCTGAAGAAGTGAGGTTTTTTAATAATTAGAGGTTTTTTGTTCTACAAATAAAAGCATACAACTCATATTTTAATATCAGTAGTCTTACCTTTCTAATTTGACGGATGTGCACCCTCTCCCCCACCGAAGAAGCCCCCGAGCTGGGGCTGGGAAGGAGGGGGGTCTCTCCCTCTCCCCACCACAGCAGCCACCCAGCTGAGGCTGGGAAGGAGGGTCGTCTCTTCCTGGGAGCTGCAGTCCTGGAGCTGGGGAAAGTTGCCTCTTTCTCTGGCTACTGCAGCCCTGCATATCCCAAATTCCCCCCTCCCACCTACCCCCTTTTCCCCCCATGGCCACCACCTCACATGAGTGTCTTGTCCAGGCACCTAATAAGTGGAGCCACGCCTGAACGGCTCCACTAATTAGCTGGGTGGCCCTTCAATGTCTCTCGTGCAGCTGCCCAGGCGCTCACCTTAGACCTTGCAGACCACTGGTGGTCCATGGACCACAGTTTCAGAACCTCTGCCTTAGATGATAAATAAATCCTTTCAGACTTTTAGGAACAATACAGTGCTCAAAATCTCACTGCTGAAAAGTCTTGGGTTATGAAAGGTAATAGCACACACAGGACAGTTCACATCATTGCCCTATTTTGCCACATCATCTTACTGAGTAGAAATCTTTCCAGCATGATTTCTTGAAAAGAACTCAAACATGTCTCTGACTGAAGCCTCTTGAGCAGAATTTCTTCAGGGAGGGGAACCACAGGAGCATGAGTGGACCTAATCTGCTCTGGTTTCTCTTGGTGAGCAGATTAAAAATTGAGATATCCAGATTTCCCAGTGGTAACCTCAATGCTTATATGGTAGTCATTAAAGTCTATGCCATTACCATTTGCAAGTACCACAGTATTCCCCGTACTCTGTATTTGCAAAGATTTTAATGGAGCATGCACGATGTACAATGAGCTGCAAAATAAGTCAGAAGCCCACAGCTTTTTAGGATTATATGTTAGTTATTGTTCTCTGGCAGCAGAGGACCAAGCCTCAGAAACATTGTTAACCATTTTTATTAATAAACAAAGGACCAACCCTAGCCCCAGGGAAGTTCCTATTTCTAGCTTGCCTAGAGGGCCACTCCTATCACTGCTTGTAAATTACATACCTCCATAATGCTAAAGAATATTTATGTAAATACAAAGTGGGCAGTTCAAAACTTATAAGGGTGTGTAAATCACAGTTGCACAACTTCATAATGTCACAGGTAAGGTCAGTTAAGGACCAACTAGAAAGGAAATAATGCAAAGGCTTATGATTAATACAAATACATGGACTGTGATGCTGGTGGTGTTAGAATCACAGGAATGAAGGGCTGGATAGGCCCCCCCCCCCAACAGATCCTCTAGTCACCCCCCCGCACGGTGTGAGGACCAAGTATACTTAGACCATCCCTGACAGG